CAATGAGACATTTATATACCAAATACCAAATGATGTAGATGTAAGCTACTATTGGTCATCATACAATCTTCAACAATGAGCAAACCCCATACCTTATAGCAAGCTATAAAAGGCAATGGCACAAACAAATGTTTAAAACAAATAAAATGAGAAAATTTATGCCTGATTTAGGCTAAAACAATAATCTAAAAAATAAGTATTACAGACAGCAACCAACAACTACCACTGAATCATATGCTCCTGACTTGGAACAGGCACTTTTAAGAATGTGTGGGATGGGGGTAGGGGGTAAATATGTTTACAAGTGCTCAACCCTACTCGTCTTGAACAATAGTGTAAATGCACATTACACAAGTAACATTGTAAATTTAGTTGAAAAAGACTGATTGGCACAAAACACAAACAAAACTTATGAAAGAACAAAAGAGACTGAGTATGTACAAAAATAGCCAACTATGTCAACAAGGTGTGACTAATGTGTAGAAGTTTCTAAAAATATTTCTTTGAAAGTGTAAAAAATGTTATTAGTCACTTGAAATTGCTGGGCCATAATGCATCTTCCCCTTCAATGTTCCACATATGTAACTTAATGTTGACCTGAATGACTTTAAAATAAATTCGCTATTTCATTGATGCTTTCAGTAATTTTAAATGTGATCATTTTAATGAAAATCTTCAAAGATGAAAATTTCCTTTTTTTGTTAATTGTCACAACAAAACTGGTTCAGTATCATCCAGCAAAATGCCATTTAAGTTTGACTGATTGAGTAAACAGATTTTTAATCAAAGATGCTTTAACCTTGCACTATGATAGTCCCAGCTTTACTGTAGTTAAAATCAGGCAAATAACTAACGTTTGTGTCATTTTCTAATAGTATGCAGTGGTTGCTTTGCTTATTAGAGGAACTTAGATCAATTATTAGAGTGAATTCTAATGAGATCAACTATGTAAAGTTATCAAACAAAAAAAATAATCTCAATTGTTTATGTGAAAGGTTGGAATGAATGAAATGAATATTTCCCCCCCAAAAAAAAATCATTTTTAAGCATTTAGGACTTAATAGGGGTATAACCAGAGAGGAAAAGGGGTGTCAAAGAGTGAATTGTTAATGCCCACAATGCCCAATATCTTAGAATATTTTTAAGAGTTTTTGCGAGAGAAAAAAAACAGAAAAACAAAAATCAATAAAAAAAGGCCTGTTTGTCCTTTAATGCCTCCCCATCCCACCCTGATTCCACCTTTTATTTGTCCCAAATACTTAATAATTAGCATATTCCATCTATAAACTGTTAAATTACACATTGTTCTTTAAATAAAATAGATGATGAAGATCATTTCTTATTTAAATGTACACAAAATGAAAACTTGAGACTTGATTTGTATCACAGATTATGTCAGACTTTTGATTTTCCCATTGTAGAACTAGCTCAGTTTGCTGAAGCAAGATACATATGACCAATGTCAAAGTCTTCTTTTACTACAAATTTTCTTTTGTCTGGTATATTTCTAACTCTAGTTCCTCATTCTTCAAAAAAGAATAAGAGATATAAATGTTTGTAAAAATTTCATGAAACTATGAAAACAGTATTTTTGATACAGTATCGCACTTTCTTGAAACTCATTTACGTTTTGTGTGTAAGCCTGAATCTGATTATAAAAAATCATTTCTGAATTTACAGTATTTCATTTGATATTAAGTTGATCCTGAATATGAATGAAACCTTTCTGCTAGACCTAGTGTATCAATCCAAATACCCTGGTGAAAATCTGAAAAATTAGAACAGTGAAACTATGTTTTATGTCAAATATTCTAGACACTGAAATCATGCAGTTTCTATCACAAAAAAACTTCCAATGCGCTTATTATCAGATGTATGACATACTCTTCAATTAATGATTATATATTTAAGAATTATAAAAGAACTAGTTCCAGGGTTAATTCTTAATGATTAGTAAAAGAATTTATAATAAATTGCTTCGCCGAGCACAGCTGGATACGACCACAGAGGTCTAATCCTGAACAGTTGGCGCAAAAATGGACACAATATTCGCGCTTGATACAGGTCTGAATTTGGATTGTAATTAAATATTTGACACATAATAGGTTTCTGACACAGAATAACTGTAGTCAAAGAACTTAGAATTGGTTATATGATTTGAATTTATATTCAATTTTTTGCTTTTGTGCAATACACCAAAACAATTCTTTCCCTCAAGATATGGTCATAATCTCAATTCAAATTTCAATGGAGTTTGCAACCATAATTACCCATTTAAATACATCATAAAAGTCTTAAAATAGAATTGACATACATAATCATAGCTAAAATTAATATTCCTTAATAGTAACTTCTAAAAATAAATTGACAACTAATCATCTCAAGACAATATAACATTTCTTTTTACATAATTTAAAAGCAGTGTAAGGGAGGTATTCAAAATGTTGTGTTTGGATTACCTCCCTTACACTGCTTTTGTTTTAAATTGTCTAAAGTAATTGTCCATTAACCAGGAAACCCTTGTTTTTCCCCCTTTTTGCCTTTAATTCCTAAACGGTTTAAGCCATAACCCCCCAAAGCAAATCCTAACCATCCCTTTGTGGTATGGAAACTTGTGGTATAATTTCAGAGAGATCCATACACGGTTCCACAAGTTATTGTCTGGAAACTAGAAAAATGCTTATTTGGGCCCCTTTTTAGCCCTTAATTCCTAAACTGTTAGGACCATAACCCCCAAAATCAATCCCAACCTTCCTTTTGTGGTTATAAACCTTTTGTTTAAATTTCATAGATTTCTATTTAATTGTACTAAAATTATTGTCCGAAAACCAACTGTCTTCAGACGACAATGACGACGAAGAAGACGACAATGTGATACCATTTTACGACCGCAAAATTTTTTGAGGTCATATAAAGAGTCAGGCATTAATGTAGTCATCATAGAGCAGAGGAATATAATGACCTAATTATTTGGGTTACTAAACTAACTGTTTTCTTCTATTTTATAATCAAAGATGGGGAAGATACCAGATCTACCATTTTTAAAAATGTTCTCCAAATGGATCTGGATCAAAATTGGTTACAATTAAACTTCATGCAAGAAAGATGGCTGGATGCCACGTTTCTAAAGGTTTGACTGTTGCATATTTTTGACACGCAAAGGATTCATGCTCCTGGGAGCCTCTAGTTTAATAACCTGTGATTTTTCATGTGGCCAATTATTCAGGATTAAAAACTGATTCTTACAAAGGTATGGAATTTTGCTGTTCCATTTTATCATAACATTATTTAGATACAATACATGATTATTATACCCTTTGTTGCATGGGTATAATGTTTTTGACTCTTCCATCAGTCATGTTCTTGTCATTACAGCTCATCTGAAGCCACACAACAGAATTTCATGAAACTTTGTAGATAATAAGGACATACTATGTAAATTATGTGATTATTGACAGGAAATTATGATTCAATTTTACATCTAGTAGGTATGCCCCTTTCAGAAATTAGGCTAAATATGCTACTGCAACAGTTTGTCATTTGACCAGTCCTTCCGTCTGTCTGTTAGTCCTGTTCTTGTCATCACAACACCTCTGGCCATAAAATACGACTGCAACAGTTTTTCAGTTCAACTCCTCTGAAACCACACAACAGAATTTGATGAAACTTTGTAGAATGTAAAGACATACTATGTAGATGTGCATATCAACAAGAATTAATGATACATTATTTTTTCTTGGAGTAATGCCCCTTTGAACTTAGAATTTTGGCCATGATATACTACTACAATGGTTTCTCAGTACAACTCCTCTGAAACCACACAACAGATTTTTATGAAACTTTGTAGATACTTAGGACATATGAAAGAACCTTGGTGAGCGCGCTCACATACCCCACGTCCCCACATTGTCATTGGAGAAATAAAATAAGTGTAAGAAAATAAAATTGTATCAGAAAAAAAAATTGAATCATAATTTCCTGTCAATATGCACATCTACATAGTATGTCCTTATTACCTACACAGTTTCATGGAATTCTGTTGTGTGGTTTGAGAGGAGTTGCGATGACAAAAGGTTGCAGTAGTATATTGGGCAAATAAGTTCAAAGGGGCGTAACTCCTATAAAAAAAATTGAATCGTAATTTCCTGTCGATATGCACATCTACGTAGTATGTCCTTATTATCTGAAAAGGTTTCATGAAATTCTGTTGTGTTGTTTGAGAGGAGTTGCGATGACAAAAGGTTGCAGTAGTATATTGGGCAAATAAGTTCAAAGGGGCGTAACTCCTGGAAAAAAAATTGAATCGTAATTTTCTGTCGATATGCACATCTATGTAGTATGTCCTTATTATCTGAAAAGGTTTCATGAAATTCTGTTGTGTGGCTTGAGAGGAGTTGCAATGACAAACTGTTGCAGTAGTACATTAAAGGAAATAAGTTCAAAGGGGCGAAACTCCTAGAAAAAGAATTGAATCGTAATTTCCTGTCGATATGCACAACTACATAGTATGTCCTTATTATCTAAAAAGGTTTCATGAAATTCTGTTTTGTGGTTTGAGAGGAGTTGCGATGACAAGAAACAGGACTGACGGACTGACGGACTGACGGACGGACAGACGGACAGACGGACGGGTCAAAAACATTATACCCTCCGCAACTCGTTGCGTGGGGTATAATTATGTAGATGTGCATATAGACAGAAAGTTATGATTCAATGTTTTTTCTAGGAGTTATCATACTTTGAACTTAGAATTTTGACCTAAATATACTACTGCAACAGTTTGTCAGCGAAACTCCTCTGAAACAACATAACAGAATTTCATGAAAATTTGTGGTTAATGAGGACATATATATGACTTTTGTAGGAGTGATGAGTCTTTGAACTTAGAAATCTTGTGAGGTTTTATTTGCCCAGTAACAATGTGGGGGGAATGGGGTATGTGAGCGTACTCACAAAGGTTCTTTCATTTTTTAATAAAAGAAGTCATAATATAAAATAACTGACCTTTCCAATTCATTTTATTTACATGATATAAATATATATACTTTAAATATGTCAACAATAAAAACAAAAACAATATTTACATCAGATGGAAAAATTAATAAACATTTCTAAATTTGATTTTTCATCAACATATCCACACATCACAATAAAAGAAAAACAATACTATCTTTACCTATGACTTCAGCTGATTGACTTATTTGTAGAGCTCGTCTATCAGAAAGAATTATGCATGATTGAACATACATTCAAATTGCTTTGGTTGTAAGATCAATTTGAAGATTTGACTTTAATATCACATATAATTATTAATGACAAAATTGTTAATTACAAATTCATGATTAGACTAGGAATAAACTGGATATATATGATTAACAGTTCAGAGAATTGAAGTCAATAAACATTAAATAAAACAAATTGCCCTAGTAATGGTTAAAATAAAATTTCATTTAACTGGTAAATCTGTGACAATTAAAAGTGTCTGTCCATTTTAAAATTTAAAAAAAACAATCAGAAATTCCATAGTTGTCTTTTATATTTGTTTTTACCATAATTCATTATATTATTAGACTATGAATCCATGAATGTTACAATCACTTTTGTTCTTAGACTATAGAAGCCTTGTTGATTTGGAACGGACACATAAATATATATTTAAGATGTATGGAAATATGAAAATACTATAGCCAAAAAAAAAAAAAACAGACAAGAATGAAAATGTTATAGGAAACTGTGATTGTTTATTAAACTAGTAGATACATATTTATTCAACATTATATCATTAAACAGACTCATTTTCATGAAGATGAACCTTGATGATTTTAATAGTTGTCTAAGCACATATTTGACTTTAACCTGTACAGATCTTAATTTTTACAGTTCCCATATTTCACTATTATTGCTATACATGTACCTGCATAACCAGAAGAAATATTTTCCCATGAAAAACTGTTCATAACATATCACAGTAATGAAAGTCAATGAACAAAAATACCAGCAAACTTGCTACAATAAACAAAATTGTGAAATATGGATGCAGAAAAATTAAGGAAGGAAGTCAATAGCCACATTTGAAAAAAAAAATCATATCTTGCTTCAGATATTTGAATATACATGTATGACAGTATGTGCTAAAACTAAGGGTATATGTGACCAATTTTTTCCTCTACCTGTGAAAGGATCTTGGTTTACCCTCACATGTGTATGTCTTTCATCAAAAATAAGAACAAAAATGAAAATACATGAATGCATAGAAAATCACATTTATCACATATGATAAAAACCCGAAATCAATAACATGGATCTATCAACAGCAAATTTGACTTTGGTTAAAAAATAGCTGCCCCAATCCTTTCTAAGAACATAAGAATATGTTGTTTAAACGTCAATAAGGCAAAAAAAAACAAACAAAATTAACAAATAAGTCCATTCATTCCATAGAAACAACTCTATTATATTTCACACAAAAGCTAGGGGAAAAAATCTCTGCTGCTATTTTCTCAACATAATTTTAGGAAAACATACCTCCTTACAGATAAATATACACTTCTAATGATGCTGCCAATAATTGAAATTCATTTGCAAAATATCATTTTTAATCAATATTTAATTTAATTAATAAGGGAAATAATTAAGTCTACTGTTAAAACAGTCTATTTTTCACTGTTACTGGAATCATATTCAATTTCTTATTGTTAGCTCTAAATTTTGAGAAAATTCATTCAATGACATTCCTTTCCATTTTACTTTCAAGTTTATTACAATTCAAGATACGTTGGATATGTAGAAATACGACAATAAATACTGTTATATCACAGGAAAACTTTTGTGTCTGATAAAAACATATTTAAATATCACAAACAATAATTACGTATTGAGCAAAACGAATGCAATTATAATAATGAATGTATGTATAATGAAGGCTAAGTTATCTGGTTATGAATATGTACAATCTTGTTAAGGCTCTTGAAACCTATAATACGAATATTTCAGCCATTTATTCTATGAAGCAAAAGGGCCTGCCAGATGCAGATCCAGGATTTTGAAAAGGGGGGGGGGGGGGGGGCGTGGGCCCCAAAACTAGACATAATTTGTAGTGAAACTGGTAAAAAGTCTGGATTAACCATAAATAAAGCTCCATAAGGGGGGCCTGGGCACCCCCCTAAATCTACCCCTGCCTGCCAAACTTCATTTTTGGGGAAATTTGTATCAAAATTTCAGTCGGAAAATAAGTCATTTTTACCATTTGATTAAAAATAAAGATCAAAGCTAAATTGACCACTTTTTACTCATTTACAATACTACGTTCATACAGTAATCATTTCTATGCTCTGGTCAAGGAAGGATTTGATAAAAGGTATATTACAGTATTACTGATTCATTGAATGCCAATACCTATAGAAAAAGATACATGATACAAACTAATCTCTGTGATGCTTTCATGAAAAAAAATGTGTCCTTCCATGTTTTTAAAAAAAATAAATAGCAGCAGCGAAAAAAGGAAGACAGTCAAAAATCTTTCCAGTGATGCTTATAATATAATACAGATCAAATTTAAGTTCCTCACATGCAGAAAATGAAATGTCAGGTTGTAAGAACTCTTTATGTTTAAAATGAGGGTAGGAATGCCCTTTACCATCAGGCATCAAACGGTCATTTACGGCTACTGTTAGCGTCATGTTGGTTAAAATTTTACCGTGATTCGTCAAAATATCCTTATCGTGATTCGTCATGAAGGTACCCCCATTACGACCCTCTAAAATGTTAAGCATATGCGTTTAATTTCGTCATGAATTTTTCGCTTTATACCTTGTTAAGCACATTTGTATCATATTTTTGTTGTTGTGGAGATCTATTAATGCGATAAATGATAAAGCCTTTCAAGGCTTTATCATTTATCACATTAATAGATCTCCACAACAAAAATATGATATATAACATAATTTGTAGTGAAACCGGTAAAAAGTCTGGATTAACCATAAATAAAGCTCCATAAGGGGGGCCTGGGCACCCCCCTTAATCTACCCCTGCCTGCCAAACTTCATTTTTTGGGAAATTCGTCATGAAGGTACCCCCATTACGATCCAATTTCGCTATGATTTATTTCACTATTTTTCTAACTTTGTTGGTGTTTGTGAAAATAACACTGCATAAACCTTGTGTGTCCTATGATTTTTTTCTGGATTTTCCTTCATCAGAAACGAGCTGAAACCCAAAAATTTGAAAGCCATGGATGTATAAATAAATAGAAAAGTCAGGGGCTATATGACCTAAAGGGACTTAAAAAAATAGCCAAATTCAGTTAAGGTCAACTTAAACTGAGGGAGTTCGTCTTAGTGAAGATACAAGTTTGACCAAATTTCACATTATTTTTCAGCTAGTGAAATTTACAAAAGTAAATCATTTATAAAAATAAGTTAGTTTACAGAAATGGATTCCATAATTAGACAAAACAGTGTCTGTGCCATTTGTAACTAAAACTGAAGAGTTCATTACACTGTGTCTTCAGCTTCTTCTGTATTAATATTGATGAGATTGTTCCTCATTTTCCTTCTTTGTCTTTTCTTTTCTTCTCTCTCTTCATTTTCTCTTTCCACTATAACTTGTAAACTTTTACAAATTCCTCTCTCACTTATATCATACTACAATAAAATGTTAATTGATGTATTTAAAAAAATATTAGCTAATAAGATACAAATGTATTTACTTGATCAATAAAAAGGTAGTCAGTACAACACTTACAACATCTGAAACTACAAAACTTATTTTGTTCAGTTGTGGAAAGTAAAAATCTGTTCTATGTTAATTTGCCCTTGCCCTACCACACCCAGTTCTTTACAAATAATTTGCAACCAGATATCCAGTGTGTGTGTGTGTGGTACACATGTCTATGATAAATTTGAATATTGAACGTGTATCACCAATAAGAAATATTAGCAACTGTGCAAGTATAATATAGATGAAAAAAACAAGTAAAACTGTGAGCTACTGCTCACTGATGATACCCCCGCTGTGATATTTCGGTAAACAGGAAGTTGTTGAGTGATGAATCTGAAAACGCATCACACGGTAAAGCTGACTTATATTAACCCTGAAACCAAATTTCAGAAATCCTTGTCAAGTAGTTCCTGAGAAAAATGCGACAAATTTTCAACTTGGCTATCATGTGTAAAATAATACAAGTGTTCGGTAAACAGGAAGTTGTTGAGTGATGAATATGAAAACGCATCACACAGTGTAACTTACTTATATAAACCCTGAAACCAAATTTCAGAAATCCTTGTCAAGTAGTTCCTGAGAAAAATGCGACGAAAATATTCATGGGACGGATGGATGGACTGACGGACTGACGGACTAACGGATGGACTGACGGAAGGACAGACAGAGGTAAAACAGTATACCCCCTTTTCTAAAGCGGGGGTATAATTATAGAGTACATGTAGATGTATCATATGTAATTTTGTTTTGATTTTCTATGTGTACAAGAATGTTGCGGTATTATAGAAAACAATTTATTTTCTAATAAGTATTTATATTTCAAGACTGAGAATATTCATGATTTCTAAGTAAGGAAACAGATTTCCTAATTTTTTGTGGTACAGACTCCTTTCTTGATTTAGCTCTATATGTCAATGAATTCCCACTTACATGTTTGTAAAAGGCAGCTATGTTAAATTTTGGCCAACTGTCGTCACAGCCTCTCATCTTCTGACTGTTAAATGTAAGATTAGGAATATAAAAACACATGATAATTTGTTAATTAGCCATAATGTGTACAGAATTTTGAAATAGGTATAAATGTATGCATATCAAAAGGAATTGATAATTTGGCATACAACTGGAATTATGTTTCTCTGACAAAAACTGAATCTCCTACAAACTTGCCTAAAACAGAAATTTTATTTAGGACAACTATCACCAGACATGTTTATCATGAAAACTGGAAAGACAAGTGAGCCTTTAAAAAAAATCTTAAAGCAAGTTTGTAAATTTCAGGGCTAATTACTAAAAATATCTATAAATTCGACATGAAAACATTGGATAATACAAAAGGAGATGATAATCAGTTTCTTCAAAAAGAATTATGTCAAAGAAACAAGTATTTCTATGGAATAATTGAATATTCTTTTAAAACTAAGGCTTGTTCCTTTAAAATGTGTTGGAACGTAACTGTTTGACAGAAGGGTGATCTTTTCTATTTTTGGTTAAAGACAATATGTATGAGATCCTCTGTAAATTATTGCAAAAAACCCATTTCAATGAAATTGCTGACACCTTGTTGTGATAAACTGCATGTTAGGAAAGTCAAATTTAGTAGTAATTTGTTGACACAGTTGAAATGGTTTGCACTCGTATATTGTACATGTAAATAAATATCCTGAAAATCCTGTAAATATGACTAAGTGTTCTAAGGGCTGTTCCAGAATTGTTCCCCACATGGGAGGCACTATTTTAAGACCCCGACCACCCATAAAATAATTTTTTTCATTTTTCTTATACTTGAATTCTTACAAAAATCTAAGGAAAATGCATATCTAAATTAATTTGAGTGCCTCCCATCACCCGATAAATTTTGGAACATCCCCAATGTTAAACTAGAAAATACATCCACAGTCTTTAAAGCAAAAAACTATTCCTACTCCATATGGCACTGTTGTAGCTGCCTAGGAGCTGTCATTTCATCTAAAAATTTAATGTTATTATTTCAATTTTATGATTGAAACGTCACAAAGTTGATTAGTGTAAGCAATTCTAAATATCCTATTTAATGTTTAATCCTTTTCTAGAGCTGTCTGGAAAAGTATTTAAAACACATGAATAAGTCAGTTTATATAAATATTGGTTCCCTGTAACTGAAAATTAAAAACATGAAAATCCCCCACTTGGTCAAACCAAACAAAATTCTAATAAAAGAAAATAAAAGAATTCCCTCATTTCTACATTACCTACTTATGAATATTTCTCAATAATTTGTTGATAAACAGTTTAACTAATATATATATGTACATATATATAATCATCTTTGGGTGTCTTGTTTTCAACATCTATGATTGGAAGAATATAAACCAGTTTTAAACAAGAGTGCACACGCTGAAATGTCTCGCCTTCTTTACTAATCATTGATATTATGTTGATAGTCCTAAATATAAAGCTTTATTACAACTGTCACATAAACTTAACATTAACCAAGTAAACTAAACATTGACCAATGAACCATGAAAATGAGGTCAAGGTCAGATGAACCATGCTAGGCAGGCATGTACAGCTAACAATTCTTCCATACAACAAATATAGTTGACCTATTGCTTATAGTTTAAGAAAAACAGACGAAAACACAAAAACTTAACACTGAGCAATGAACCTTGAAAATGAGGTCAAGGTCAAATAAAACCTGCGTGACTGACATATAGATCATAAAATATTTCCATACACCAAATATAGTTGAACTATTGCATATAGTATTAGAAAAAAAGACCAAAACTCAAAAACTTAACTTTGACCACTGAACCATGAAAATGAGGTCAAGGTAAGATGACACCTGCCAGCTAGACATGTACACCTTACAATCATTCCATACACCAAATATAGCTGACCTATTGCATGCAGTATTAGAAAAAAAGACCAAAACTCAAAAACTTAACTTTGACCACTGAACCATGAAAATGAGGTCAAAGTCAGATGACACCTGCCAGCTAGACATGTACACCTTACAATCATTCCATACACCAAATATAGTAGACCTATTGCATACAGTATAAGAAAAACAGACCAAAACACAAAAACTTAACTATAACCACTGAACCATGAAAATGAGGTCAAGGTCAGATGACACCTGCCAGTTGGACATGTACACCTTACAGTCCTTCCATACACTGAATATACTAGACCTATTGCTTATAGTATCTGAGATATGGACTTGACCACGAAAACTTAACCTTGTTCACTGATCCATGAAATGAGGTCGAGGTCAAGTGAAAACTGTCTGACGGGCATGAGGACCTTGCAAGGTACGCACATACCAAATATAGTTATCCTATTACTTATAATAAGAGAGAATTTAACATTACAAAAAATCTGAACTTTTTTTTCAAGTAGTCATTGAACCATGAAAATGAGGTCAAGGACATTGGACATGTGACTGACTGAAACTTCGTAACATGAGGCATCCATATACAAAGTATGAAGCATCCAGGTCTTCCATCTTCTAAAATATAAAGCTTTTAAAAAGTTAGCTAACGCCTCCGCCGCCGCCGCCACCGCCGCCTGATCGCTATCCCTATGTCGAGCTTTCTGCGACAAAAGTCGCAGGCTCGACAAAAATCAAAAATATTTTCAAATTTGATTGCCTAAAACTTTGTAAACAATTTCCCATCCATTCCAATCTGTCATAAGATATGTAGAAGTAAAAACAAAAATAACCTTGATCTAAAAAAGTATTTCAAAAACAGCCCATTTCCAAATAGGAAGATTGAAATTGATTTGAAAAAAACTTAATCTGATCAAAAAGGTTAATCAAAATTATGTATCAAGGTGAAGTATATTTAATTTTGGCAATATTTCAGAAATTTATGTATTTCCAATGAATTTGGAACTCAATGAAATGTACATCCCTGCTTTACTGAATATTATTCAATTTAATGTTGAAAGTATTTCATAATCTAGGTTTTACTACCAAGTATTTCATAAATTTCCTAAACTTTAAATGATCCAAGAAAATGAAGTCAAGGTCAATTGAAACATGTCAAAGAGACATGCAAATCTTACAATTATTCTATACAATACAAAAACTTTTATGGACTTCCATACTATATAAGATAAAATGCTCCGCTGGGGCGCAGCTTGATACGACCGCAGAGGTCGAACCCTGAACAGTTGGGGCAAGTATGGACACAACATTCAAGCTTGATACAGCACTGAATTTGGATTGTAATTAAATATTTGACACAGCATAGGTTTCTGACACAGAATGAAAGTGGTCTAAGAACTTAAAAATTTTCAATTTACCTATTCATACATGTGATGGACTGTGAAACTCAGATCAGGAGATTGGGAAATTTTGGTCAGGAGATTAGGACTCAGATCAGGAGGTTTTTAATCGACATCAATTTTGTTGTAAATGTAACCGTGTGCTGTAAAAATGGTCTTTTAAAGTGTGTTTTCTTCAACTTTCCATCCAATTTATTATGTTTATAGTACCCTTGTACTTATAAAGTTTCTCCATCTTTATATTCTACATGTTCAATCTAACATTGTATTTTTCCAGTATGTTCTTTAAATTTTTTACTTCATATTCTATAAAACAATCATTGCAACCAGAACATTTGTTTAGCTATCTGCAAATAGTTTTTATTTTTTTTTTTTCTCTTGCAAATAGTTTTTATTTGCAAACTCAGAAAATCATTTTATCTGTAAAATTAGGGTCATAGTTATTATATAAATTTCAATTTAAGCCTTGATAGGAAGTCTAGAATCCTCAAATAATTTTCAAATTATTATTTTTTTATTTGTCCTAAGACATTTAAAATCATTTAATAACCATCCTTTTATGATTATTTGTTCAATTTATATTTTATTTATATTCTTTTAAAAATTTTCATTATTAAAAGGAAAGTAACTTAAAACAGGATAAATCAAGGGAAGTAACCCAATAAATACACAGTTTTTGTTACACAACGGCAGTTAGCCTGAGGTAAAAATCGTTGATTACCTGTATGTTTGACACCCAAGCTGACAAGTGAAGCCATATAATTATGCATGTTAATTGATTTACAGGTAAAATATAACTTCAGGTAATGTCAGTTACACCAGATGCCTGAGATGATATGTTGGGCAGAAATTTTTCATTCATGAAAAATTTCATACACGGGATTTTTTCCTCTTCAACGGGAGGTCGGGAGGAGACCCCTGAAAACGGGATTATTGTACTCCCGTCGGGAGGTTCACATGTATGCCTATTCAAACCATATCATTATTATTTGCTTTTATATATAAATCAGAAATAACCAATTTAAAATGGAAAATGTTAAAGAAAAAAAAGGAAAAAAAAATCCCCCCCCCCAATTTTTTGAACCCCCTTATGATTCATCACCCCCAAACTCAATCCCAGCTTTCCCTTTGTGGTATGGTACCTTGCAGTACAATTTCAGAGAGATTCATACACTTGAACACAAGTTATTGTCTGGAAACTAGAAAAATGCTTGTTTTTTGGCCCCTTTTTGGCCCCAAATTCCTAAACATTTAGGGCAATTACCCCCAAACTCAATTCCAGCTTTCCCTTTGTGATATGGAACCTTGCAGTACACTTTCATAAAGATCCATACACTTACACACAAGTTATTGTCCTGAAACTAGAAAAATGCATGTTTTTTTTGCCCTTTTATGGCCCCTAATTACTAAAATTTTGAGGGAAAACCCCCAAAATCAATCCCAGCCTTCCCTTTGTGATATGGAACCTTGTAGTACAATTTCATAAAGATCCATACACTTACAAACAAGTTATTGTCATGAAACTAGAAAAATGCTTGTTTTTTGCCCCTTTTTGGCCCCTAATTCCTAAAATTTGGAGGAAATTACCCCAAAAATCAATCCCAGTATTCCCTTTGTGATATGGAACCTTGTAGTAAAATTTCATAAAGATCCATACACTTACAAACAAGATATTGTCATGAAACTAGAAAAATGCTTGTTTTTTGCCCCTTTTTGGCCCCCAATTCCTAAAATTTGGAGGCAATTACCCCCAAAATCAATCCCAGCATTCCCTTTGTGATATGGAACCTTGTGGTACAATGTCAGAGAGATCCATACACTTACACACAAGTTATGTCTGGAAGTTACAAAAATGCTTATTTTTGGCCCCTTTTGGCCCCTAATTCCTTAACTGTTAGTACCATAACCCCCAAAATCAATCATCACCTTCCTTTTGTGGTATTGAACCTTATGGTAAAATTTCATTGAGATCCATTCACTTAAACTAAAGTTAGAGTGCGAAAACTAATGTGTATTCGGACGACGATGCCGGACGACGACGACGACGACGACGACGACGACGACGCCAACTTCATACCAATATACGACCACAAAAATTTTTTTGCGGTCGTATAAAAATATAAATACTACTTATCAGATTTAAATTACAAATGTTAAAAAAGCAATATAAAATATGATTGCTACACAATTTTGAAACACTTTCTACAAAGATATAGACGTATGTTAAATGATCCTTACAGCTTGGTTAGCTAAACCTTCATCTGTACTGGATCCATCAGTGGCAATAGGACTTATTTCTGATTCATTCTTAGAAGGACCACCATCCTCTGATGTTTCTGTCTTTGGTTCATCCTTTCAATATATAATTTCTATTTGTTAAAATCAGGGTTTAAAGAATGTAGATTTATTTTATAAGATACAACTATAACAAACTGATCATGTTTAAATTAAACATGCAAGAAATATCCCATTTCAAAAAAGTTGGTTAATTGCTGGAGTTGAACAACAGTTTAGTGTTGCTTTACCTTTCTTTATTGATAATTAGGATAAGATAAATATGGATAGTGTCCACATGTGGACACAGATGATGCCCCCGCTTGCATATCATATAGTAATAAAGGGACATAACTGAAGAACAGTAAAAGTGACGCTACCCAAATTTGAACTTGATCTGAGTTTTGTGGTAATAAGCATTATGTGTAAGTCTCATAACATTTGGTTGAGGCTAACTTAAGTTGAGAACAGAAACTAAAAATTCAGCAAATTTTCTATTTGTAAACACGCATAACTCTAGAATGGTTGTGTATAAGTTTTATAACATTTGGTTGAGACAAACTAAAGTTAGAGAAGGGAAACAAAAAATTCAGCAATTTTTATGTTTATAAATGGACATAACTCAAGAACGGTAAAAGTGTCGCCACCAAATTTTGTACTTAATCTGTATTATGTAGTAATAAGCATTGTGTATAAGTTTCATAACATTTGGTTGAGGCGAACTAAAGTTAGAAAACGGAAACAAAAAATTTTGCAATCTTTCGATTTATAAAGGAGCATAACTCAATAATGGTTAAAGTGACACTACTTGACTTCAACTTGATCTGTGTTTTATCAGTGGAAGTCAAAATTAAACATTGCATTGTATAAAGCATTGATTGTAGTTGATTTAACTATAATCATGGACAAAGGAAGATAACTCCGATTTTAAAAAATACTTGATATTTAGAAGAAAATAAAAATTTTGCAATTTTTCCATTTATAAAGGGGCATAACTCTAGAACGATTAAAGTGACGCCACCAAAATTCAAACTTGATCTGTGTTTTGTGGTAATAAGCATTGTGTATAATTTGGAGTTTAGTATGACGTCCATTATCACTGAACTAGTATACATATTTGTTTAGGGGCCAGCTGAAGGACGCCTCCAGGTGCGGGAGTTTCTCGCTGCATTGAAGACCCATTGGTGGCCTTCGACTGTTGTCTGCTCTATGGTCGGGTTGTTGTCTCTTTGACACATTCCCCATTTCCATTCTCAATTTTATTGTGTATAAGTTTCATAACATTTGGTTGAGGCAAACTTTAGAGAACGGAAACTAAAACTTTCAAACCAAAATTCAAACTTGATCTGTGTTTTGTGGTAATAAGCACTTAAATAAAACTTAATGCCCCCACCGCTACGGCGTGGGCATAAAAAACATTATCATTCAATTAACACTACCACATATTCATATGCTTGTCCAAGTCTTGAACCTTTTCCGTGGTTGTCTAAATGTTTTTATTATTTTTGAAAATTTGGTATAGATGGCATTTCTTCTGTAGTTAAAAACTTGTACTGTTCCTTTGACTTTCTTTAAGTTGTAAAATATTAACTTTGAAAAATTTGTTGTATAAAAATATCTTCAAACATTTTCAATCATGATTTCTTCTCTGCTATTGAATTTTAATGATTTCATGGACACACAATGATCTATCCACTTCAGTTAAAAGTTTGAAGGGTCATGCTTCTTTTGAGTTTCATAATGCAGTGTCTAAGCATAACTGTACTTAATGTTTCTTTTTCAATAGAAATTACTTTTTAGGTTATTTGAACGTACATTAGTAATATGATTATCACATGGAATATCAGCAACTAGGAAAATACAGAATTCTTAAGTGTAGACCACTGGTAAATGTCTTGCTTTGTACAATACGCACCTTGACCAGTTGACCCTTCATATCAAAGGTACAAATGACAATAATATTGAAACTTTTTTCAATAACTGGAATTAATTAATGGCAAAATATAATTGAAAGTTGTAAGACAGATGTTATCTAACCTTTTTCTGTGCTTGAAAAGTATGTAATACTGCATCATGTATAGTAGGAAACAACTTATCTCTGTCTAACATATCAAAGAAACCTGTCTTCTCAAACATTTCTCGAACTCCAGCTAGAAAAAAAAACCATTCAATTGTTATATAATTCTCTGTAAAACATTTCTTTAACTCTGGCTGGAATAAATACACACCCTCTTCTTTTAAAAAAGTATTTTTATGTATGGATTCTAGTTCTAATGCTGTGGAGGAAAATAAATGGAACAAGGACTTTTAGATTATTGAATTTAGAACTTTTCATTTTAATGTAGAATAGGGTTATTTATTTTCAATTTTTGTTTTGATTAATCACTAAATTTATGACAATCTACTGCTTTAAAATCTACAGGAATATAAATAAATTACTTGTTTGTACAGCAGAATGAAAACATTGTTGCAGAAGTGGGTGAATATTAATTGTAAGACATCGTTAACCAATAATGACATTTTGTTGTATACTCTTGAAAACATTACCCAGAGAATGAATTTGATTTTGAAATGACAAATTAGCACCCTTTGCATTAAACTTTTAAAGTACTGTCTGAAAATCTATTAAAAAAATGAAAAATGAAAACAACACGTTATCAATTTCATGCGTCCGAAGCTCTTTTCTTGATTAACCTTCATCAGGAACACTCAAAGCCGAATATTTGAAAGCCAAGAATGTATAAGGACCGAAAAAGTTGAAAAGTATGAAACACAAAAAAAAACCTGAATAATGCATCCATGCAAAATGACAATTGTTAATTTAGAACTATTATCATGTAACTTTATTTGACTATGGAGTGTGAGAAATTATTAAATCACTTTTATCTCTTATATCCATAATGTCAAATGTGAAGTTTTTATTCATCGAGAATAATATCTTGCAAAGAAACTATCTTTTAAATAGAAAGGAAAGCATTAAGGATTCATCACTGCTAATAGTTGAAAAACTGGTGGTGCAAAAATTTGAAAATTTTTCGTTAAACACAAGTTGTATGTCTTAAATAAGAAAAAAGGACTGTAGGAGAAGCAAATCAAAATATGATAACTCACCTTTACAGAAGGCTAAGTAAATATCTATTTCTACATCTCTGTATTCTTTAATTACCTATATAAAATAAGTAAATGAAAATTAGCATATGTAATTTCATACAAATATAGAAAGAGCTACCTTCTGGGCAAAATTTTACACTACAGTACACAACTCTTCATAATCCATATGCAATTAATAAGTTTTGAAGATCAAAGGCCATGGTAAACTATGTATTATCAGCAGATGTGTGGTCTCTAAAGACACATTCCATGGAAAAACAATATCTATACATTTTCCACAATCCCCCATTTAAGCAGAGTGTGTGGTAAATTTACATGAGACAAGCTGTACAGTAAAAGGAAACACTTTTTATACTGAATTCTAATATTACGTTCTTCTTTCACTTTGTAAACAAGGCCATGTTCTAATTCCAGTAGAACATAGGGTGCAAGTGTGAGACGTCATTATCAAAATTGCAACGTCAGTTGTATTAAAACAACTCTGCATGAAGATCAAACTGTACATTTTTGTTGGTTTTGAACGCTGTGAAATTAAATTAAATATTTCTAAAAGTAAGTTACATGTATCTGTTCATTTCTTAATCTGTAAAACAGTTGGTTTTCTATAATGTTTTTGCTTCATCAAATAAAATGGCCTTGAGGCCCATTTCGAAGTACAAAAGTTATAAATTTTCCATGAAAATCGAATTAATTCTATCATGCCATGCTCTATATACATGTATATAGGCATAATATTTGCCTCACTAAGGTTCGGTATAAAGATATAAATAAATATAATGTATGCCAATGTAAAAATCAGCATAGGGTATTGCATGAAAGAATTATTTCTTAAATATAAACGTCTTCTTGCAACCAATGAAATAATAAACCATAAATTTTTTTTCTATTGTAATTCCAGCGTTGAATTTTCATAGATTCTCAAAGCCTTTATTAACCTTATGTGCCTACTCATTCAGCAATTGATTATCTCAAAGCTAATTTTAATGACAGTGGCTTTGGGATTGTCTTCATTTCTAAGACAACATGTAAAGACTTACATTAGTTAAAGCTTTAACCCCCATAGAATCAATAAAACTCCAAGTGGAACAGTCCAGTATAACAATATCATATGGGACTGCAGGAATATTAACTGTGACATCAGGTAAATCAATTGGTGTCAACTCCATACTACCACCATCCATATTTGACGATGAATTCTAAAAAAAGGATAAAGAATATACATGTGAAGTTAAGCATTGTCAGAATTTTGCACAATTTCATGTAAATTAGATGAATATTCAGTTCAAATCAAGTGACTAAACAAATGCATCCTAAAGGAGGTTAAATAAAGAGAACTAATCCCACGAAGGTCATTTTCCTTGTAAGCAATTTGATTGAATGAGGACATTTACATATGTCTTCGAAATGTAGTTGCTTAGACGTTGATCTAATATAAAACTGATCCAAAGTCATTCATGTGTCAAAATGAAGGCCTAAGTGACCCATGATCACTTTTGCTACTATGCAAAATATGAAAATTGAAAAAAAAAATTCCTAGGAATTGTAGTTACATAATTTTGGACATCAATACAAACATAATTTTTCATAAATACCTTGGGACAGGACAATTATTTTCGCGTTTTTTCTGTTTACATTGTACTATGAAAATACATATACTATAAATAAAGCGTATTTGCTATTTACTATCAATTCCAAGTTTACTATCTACGGCTGTCACTGATATATTATATAGAGAGCAGTGGATGGTAAACTTGGAATTGATAGTAAATAGCAAATACACTTTACTTATAGTATATGTATGTTCATAGTATACAGACAAACGCGAAAATAATTGAAATTAACAGAAAACAAAAAATAAGGGACTTTGGAAAAAGGGGGAGTGCTAAAAAAAATTGGCCTGTCCCCAAGTACCTATGACTTTTGATACCTTTCCTGAAATTCTCCAGTCATAAAATCTTTTACAAAAATTCATCATACAACAGTTTACATACTTTCAACCACGCTCTAAATGCCCGCGATTTCGCGGGTGTGTTCTAGTGTTCTTTATTTATATAAATGCTGTCTTGTACTTACTCTAATATTATATTCTACTTCTTGCTGCTCTCTTTGTTTGTATGCTTTCAATTTAGCTTTTGATATCTCAGTCTTTAAATGTCGAGGATTTATTGTACATTTATACAGTGTATTACGAAAATGTTCTACACTAACAAAAAATATAGCATTTTCAAAACGGAAAATTTTTAATCTTGGAAATTCTTGTGCCTACAAATAGAAATCTTAGTATAAATGAAATCATCTCAGCTAGTGTTAGACATTGAAAATTCTATGTAAATACATGAATAGTTTAAAAATTAACATGTTGCATTTCAATAACCAATATTAAACCTAAAATGCATGATTTATTTTGATTTTGTACATCAGTTTTTTTGCATTGATTCAAAACATGCTTTGAAGAATTACATAAAGAAAATTAAAGATAAATTCTATAACAAGTTTAAATTGGTTATGATAAAAGTTTATGCAGACAGCACTTCTAACATTAAATCAAGCATGTGTAAAATGAAATATTTTGATTATATCCCGTTTAATATGACTTCAGTGGTCAACAGCAACGGCTATCTGCTGTAATGATTTTTTTGGGGTGATATAGCCTTTATAAGTTGATGTGAGGTTAAGCAATAAATAATCAATCTGTAATGACTTTTTTTTCACCTGAATGTGCAAGATGTAATTTTTCTTTGATGTAAAACGTCATAATTTATTCAGATGCTAATAGAATGTTTTATAAATGTTTACAAAATCTGCTCAGGAGCAAGACAAATTACATAAATTTTATTTCTAATCTGCTACTTACTTCTTTATAAACTTTAACATCTCTATAAATATCTGTGTTTGGAATTTGACCTAATACACATGCATATGGTCTGTAAATAAAAGACATAAAATTAATTGGTATGATCATCTGGCATGTCAATGTTCAATGTTCATAAGATTCCTCAATAAGAATTTTAGTTTTCAATCAATCCAGTATTCCATAAAAAATTCATTAGCAAAGGTTTTTAGATATATACATGTATATGCACTGTATTTTTCTTTTCATATTCTCAAATCACCAAACAGAAAACAACATATTGTTTTTTTACTATTATTATGATTTTCTTTTGTTTCTACTATTTAAAATTCACCTTCCATTGAAACATAATAGTTTACATGACTTATCTCCCTTTTCACATGAAACCAACATATAATAAGTAGCCAATTACTAATCAATGAAACAACACTAACAGCTTTGTGATTTTTTTAAATATTATTGAACTTGCATATATTACTTATTAACCAATTCAAAACACAAGACAAATTAAAACTATAATTCTACAATAAGTTAACATTCAATATGAATGATGTAGAGCTCTATACATATAATTTACCTCTGAACTCTATATACTATAGTTAATAACCCTATCACAACTCCTACAAGGAGACCAAGATCTACATCTAACAGCACAGTGGCTAAAAATGTGGATAACCAAATAAACTGCAATAAAAAAAGTCATTTAAAACATTTTGTATTTTAATGTTTGTTGCTTAAAATTGCTCAGAAATTACCTATTACAAATTTATTTTTTTCAAATTTCTCTATACTTTAATATAATGCTAATAATAGACCTTAGTACTGTGATTATTCCAACAGTCTGCATCAATGATACTTTTGTTGTTGGTGCAAAAATGAAGTCCAATAAATTTGATCAAACATTTGGTCATGTATAATAGCCTCACTTTGATAGTTGTCAACCTGAAGAGGTACTTTTTTGCTGTGATTGGACTTTTTGTGCTGAGGTGACATAAAGCAACCACAAATCAACCAATGAAGGGGTACTTCTGTGTATCATGACCCAATATTAAATTCATAGTGCAATGATTTAAATGTAGTGTGGAAATCATAATTGTGAGATGAGTTGTGAGCACATGGAAAACAATCATTTATCAAAGATTTAAACAAAATTCATTCATAAATGTATCTCAAGTGAAACAATTATGTAAAGTGAAACAAACCGAGAATACAATAACTTATGTACAAAGTCCAAGACAACAAACAAAAGATACAGATATCATGAAACAACTTGCATGTACGCATTTGTTCACTTTTGTTTTTTCGTCCCAAGTCAGACTTTAACACAGGCTTAAATCATAATTCAGTACTTACAAAATCTATTTTTGATAGCTTCCATAATCTTTGAAGCTCAAAAAACTGTCTAAACATTCCTTGTAATGCTACAATAATTATAGATGCTAAGATACACTGAAAAACAACAAAAACACAAATGCTTTTATAGAATAATAAGTAGTAATTGCTATTATTCTTCTGAAATTAAAATATGTATGACAAAAACTTGATCAAAATGAAATCCTTTGTTGATTGATTGATTGTTTGTTGGTGTTAAATGCCACTTTCAGCACTATTGGTTATATATTGGTGGCCAGTTTTTTTATTGGCGGAGGAAGCTGGAAAGTCCGAAGAAAACCACCAACCTTCGATAAAAAAACTAGCAATCCTAGTCAATTAAGATTTGTGTTCAAACCCACCTGCCAAGTGTGGGGTTCATTCTCACAACCCCTGTAATGATAGTGATAAATTAGATGAACTATTTAGACCACTACTGGCCTAGTTAAGCAAACAAAATGTCTTTAAAAAGTGTTTTAGTAAAAAACATCGTAATAGGTAAATAAGAACTTGAACTACTTGTTTTAAATTCTTGAAGAACTGACAAAATCATTTGCCCATAGTCTTTAGTCCTTTATATTGTGAAACAGAAAGTATGACTCACCTTTGGTAATGTTTTGAAGTAAGGTCCTAACAACAGCAAGACCATTAAAAGTAAAGCACTAGACACTAATCCTACTACCTGGAAAGAAAACAGTTACAATGTAATAAACTAGATTGAGCACCAGCTATCGAGTCATTCACTTTTTTCTTTCAATTTAACAGTGCATTTAATCACAGAATAATATCTTGAACATACCATTTTAAATTATCATATTTCAATATGCGAAAGAAATTAGCTGTAACAGCACATCTTTCAAAGCACTCAATAACGATTTTAATTCTATATTATGAATTTGAAGTATCTGAAAAAAATATTTTATAATTGTTTCTCGATGGCATTTAACACAATTTTTCCCATATATATGTACAATTTTAAGATGGTAAAATTCGTATCTGAAGGAAACCCGAGATTCTGGTTAAATAAAGGAATTCTTTCCTGTAATTGACTATATCTTATATACCAGTAGATCAATTGTATAAACAATTTTTTTTTCTATGTGTTGATCTGCCCTGAATTGCACACCCACACAAATTAAGATGTAAACATTAAACTAGGATTTAATTGTGAACCTGTATAATTATAAAACCATAGCTCTCTTTGGTCTTACTTGATACAACTGCTAAGGTATATCATATATCATATCCTTATTAATAAATCGGTGATAAAAAGTGTCAAAATCTCATCAATTTTCTCATCAATTTCTAACTGTGAACCCTTATCGTAAATCTAGTTTAAATCCTTAGTAGTAGTAGTCATTATTATTACCTGTGTTTTACCACCAACATTTTCTTGAACAAGACTTCTGGATAATGATGCTGATGAAACAAAGGCAGAGAAGAATGAACTGACTATATTACAAGCTGCATATGCTATTAACTCCTGAAACACAGAAAAGTAAAATTACAACAACAATAAAAGAAATGCATTTGATTTGAAATGTTTGTCAAAAAATATGTTAATAAATCTTGAACATTTTTAAGGGTAATCTGTTTGGAGACATCTATGGACATCATAATACTTTTAATAACTTAATTGACAGACAGATTTTATCATTGAAGATAATAAGATAACAACTCTACACGAAAACACATTATCTTTCTATCTTGTTCAGTCTTCGGTTTTCTTTGTTATGTTTTATAGTTTACTTCCATATATACTTACTTTCACTTTCTCTTTCAATTGCTATTTATAACGTTACTCACCATAGCAACATTGTGACGTTTTAATTTTCTCAATCTGATTTTGTACCTCAGCATGATTTTATGTATTGTTTTCTATCCTAATGACGGTGGCCTAGCCACCGAAACATGTCAACCTCAATAAATTACTGGAGCATTCCTTAAAGTGTTGTTGTTACTTGACCTTCTACATTTTGTTATGTTTTGTATATTATACTGTTGTTAGTTTTTTTATTGTTTTTTTTTTAGCCATGGTGTTGTCAGTTTGTTTTCAACTTAAGTTTGAATGTCCTTTTGTTATCTTTCACCTATCTTTTACTAGGATTAAAATCTATCCAAACTTTCTTTCTAATCATAAAATGCTATTTGTTAGCTGAGAAGCAGCAAATACAAATTACAAATCAAGTCTTAGCCACAGATTGAACTAATTTCTGAATTTGAGCCAGCATGCTACAGGTTTTTTTAAGGGTGTGTTGGGATTTGTGTCATGAACTAATACACCACATCCATTCTTTTCCATTACACCAAGGTCATCAAAGGTCAAATAGAACACTATTCCTAATAACTATTATTATTTGATGACATAGAAAGTAAAACTTCCAGTAAGTATGTGTCTATCACAAAACAAAGTAATTTTTTATAACATCAACATGTTCTTGTCCTGAATATGTAAAACATACTTATGTTAAACATCCATACGTTAATTTTTCTCAACTTTCTCTAGTAATTGTATTGACGATAAAACTTTTTTTAAGGCAGATTAATTCTCAATCTTAAAACATTGATACAACTGTGGATTCATTATTAATGGTCAGGGAACCAGTTTTCGTTCATTTCCTTGGTAAAGGTCAACCACGATTCTAAATGTTCAACGAAGTGCAAAATTTCTATAGGCTTTTATGTAAATTTTGGCAAAATCACAAAATCAAATATCCACAAAAATAAAAAAAATTTCCTCAATCAACGAAAATTAGAACCCACGAAAATAAATGAATCCACAGTATAGATATTCAATACACTGAGAGTCCTATCATTTCTACCTGATTGGAATTAATCTCATAATCATATTTTTTGGCTAATATCTTGCCCATGGAAACAGAAATGGCAAAAACAACAATACTAATGGCAAAGGCATCTGCTATCACATCTGGTATCATACTGAAATTTGGTACTTTAGGTATAGGCATCCTGTAATAAAAATATGTGTTTGTCATTACAAAAATGTTTTCCTACTGATTTTAGTGACAAATATGGATTTTTTTAATTTTTCATTGTTGATATAGAAAAAGAAACTAGGTAAACATACAAATTTTACTCTCTTTTCTAATCTGTTTATTTCATTATCATTCATTATTTTATTAGATATCAATGATCAATTACATTAACTTCCTTCAATGAAATGTTTATCAATGTATAAATTGCTTAGTTGCCAGGGACAACCCTGAGGTGGACCTAATGTTCTTTTTTGGATAAGATATTAAACATGTTATAAATCCAGGCCTTCCTTATGGAACTTAGAATATGATAAATGCATAGAATTTTTACAAATATTGCCCCAAACCTTGGCTTGCCAGGCCCCCCTCCCCCTTTTTAAGAATCCTGGATCCTTACCTGAAAGGGCCCACCCAAATCACCAAAGTTGCCATAATGTTTTAAATGAAGTGGGAATTGGCCCAATCTGACTTCTTTTATATCATTGAGTTGCTAAAGCATGACTCTTAAAATGATCAGAACCTCATTATTCATCTTGAAACTGAAATCAATGGAGGTTAAGAAATTAACAATAGGGTACCTCATATCAATGGTCTGGTATAAGATCTTCTTAAAAAAAAATAAACCTGTTCATTAAACTAAACATTTAAACAAGGTAAGTATGAGACCAAAGCATCTGAAGCATCACTAACAGGGCTGAGACAGACATGATCTTCTCAAAACGGAAGTACAAGGATGCTAATGAAACAGTCCCTCCCATTTAAAAAAATCATTAACATTTCATAAATACTTAAAGACACAAACAAATAAGAATACTTTTAAACATTTAAAATTACTAGATGGAATTATCAGAACAAGTCAATTGTTCATCCTTGTAAAATATTTTAAAAATTGAGTTGTTTCCCTTGTTTTGGTCTCAGAAATAATTCTGAAGTAATTTTGATACAAGTTTAATATAAAACATTTCATATAAATCAAAACTTACATAAAACCTTTGTCTGTTGCATGCAAAATCTAAATTATAAGATTATCTAGTGTTTTAAAGGAAATTTGAAATCTAAAGATCTATATTACACTCACATTTTCAACCAGACATTTTTTTATAGGTAGATCTTGCCAACATTATATAGATCAAATTGTGACGTCATGAATTGTGGAAAAAGGCCTCTCCAAATGGAAGGCAATTAAGATACAAGAACAGAACACCACCACCAACACCCCATTAACATATGAAAATACATAGCGTGTCACCCACTCTACTCAACTGCATGCACGATTTAAAAGTATCTTAAAAAATACATATCTAATGATGATTTGCAATTGAAATTTTATAATTATAAGGTGGTTTTAAATTGTGATGTCTGTTCATTAAATATTTTATTTAACATGCTTCTATGTTCAAAGGTAGTTATTATTGTGTCACCTGAATCACATTCATTTTTTTTTTGGTTTATATCTAAATTATTTTATTATCTAATCTAATTTTAATAGCTAAAATTATCATCTGCTACTGTGTGTTTATTTCACTCTTTCTAGAAAGAAGTTACAGAATTGCCTTGCCAAATTAGGACTCCTTTTTGCTATCAATATAAACATGTAAATGTCATTTGTATTTTTGTACTTCCCATAATCATGACGACGTAATTTTCCTGAGAATATTTTGTTTTCTGAAATTTGATACAAAACTCCTGTATTTTTAGTCAAAAAAGTATGAAGTGGATTGGTTTTTTTTTTATTTCTTTTAAAAAATAACATGGGTGCTAGTTAAAAAGTTTTTGAATGAGTTAACATATCTGCCAACTTTTTAAACATCTCCATAGGGAATTTTAAGCACTAGAGGACCTAATGCATCTCTTACACGTCATAAATGTTTTTGATCTACTGTTAATATTCATAGGTTTTGAATGAGTTAATTTATCTGCCAACTTTTTAAACATCTCCATGGGGAATTTTAAACACTAGAGGACCTTATGCATCTCTTACACATGTCATAAATGTTTTTAATCTACTGTTAATATTCTTAGGTTTTGAATGAGTTAACATGTCTGTCAACTTTTTAATGTCTCTATAAGGAATTTTAAGCACTAGAGGACCTAATGCATCTCTTACATGGCATACATATTTTTAGTCTACTGTTAATATTCTTAGGTTTTGAATGAGCTAACATATCTGACAACTTTTTAATGTCTTCATAGGGAATTTTAAACAATAGAGGACCGAATGCATCTTTAACACATGTCATAAATGTTTCTAATCTACTGTTAATATTCTTAGGTTTTGAATGAGTTAACATGTCTGTCAACTTTTTAATGTCTCTATAAGGAATTTTAAGCACTAGAGGACCTAATGCATCTCTTACATGGCATACATATTTTTAGTCTACTGTTAATATTCTTAGGTTTTGAATGAGCTAACATATCTGCCAACTTTTTAATGTCTTCATAGGGAATTTTAAACACTAGAGGACCGAATGCATCTTTAACACATGTCATAAATGTTTCTAATCTACTGTTAATATTCTAAGGTTTTGAATGAGTTAACATGTCTGTCAACTTTTTAATGTCTCTATAAGGAATTTTAAGCACTAGAGGACCTAATGCATCTCTTACATGGCATACATATTTTTAGTCTACTGTTAATATTCTTAGGTTTTGAATGAGCTAACATATCTGCCAACTTTTTAATGTCTTCATAGGGAATTTTAAACACTAGAGGACCTTATGCATCTCTTACACATGTCATAAATGTTTTTAATCTACTGTTAATATTCTTAGGTTTTGAATGAGTTAACATGTCTGTCAACTTTTTAATGTCTCTATAAGGAATTTTAAGCACTAGAGGACCTAATGCATCTCTTACATGGCATACATATTTTTAGTCTACTGTTAATATTCTTAGGTTTTGAATGAGCTAACATATCTGACAACTTTTTAATGTCTTCATAGGGAATTTTAAACAATAGAGGACCGAATGCATCTTTAACACATGTCATAAATGTTTCTAATCTACTGTTAATATTCTTAGGTTTTGAATGAGTTAACATGTCTGTCAACTTTTTAATGTCTCTATAAGGAATTTTAAGCACTAGAGGACCTAATGCATCTCTTACATGGCATACATATTTTTAGTCTACTGTTAATATTCTTAGGTTTTGAATGAGCTAACATATCTGCCAACCTTTTAATGTCTTCATAGGGAATTTTAAACACTAGAGGACCGAATGCATCTTTAACACATGTCATAAATGTTTCTAATCTACTGTTAATATTCTTAGGTTTTGAATGAGTTAACATGTCTGTCAACTTTTTAATGTCTCTATAAGGAATTTTAAGCACTAGAGGACCTAATGCATCTCTTACATGGCATACATATTTTTAGTCTACTGTTAATATTCTTAGGTTTTGAATGAGCTAACATATCTGCCAACTTTTTAATGTCTTCATAGGGAATTTTAAACACTAGAGGACCGAATGCATCTTTAACACATGTCATAAATGTTTCTAATCTACTGTTAATATTCTTAGGTTTTGAATGAGTTAACATGTCTGTCAACTTTTTAATGTCTCCATATGGAATTTTAAACACTAGAGGACCTAATGCATTTCTTATACGTCATAAATGTTTTTAGTCTACTGTTAATATTCTTCGGTTTTGAATTAGTTAACATATCTGCCAACTTTTTAATGTCTCCATGGGGAATTTAGAGCACAAGAGGACCTTATGCATCTCTTACACATCATAAATGTTTAATCTACTGTTAATACTATTGTATTTTTATCTCCTTTGCATACTTTTTTTTTAGGTATTTAGGTCATATAATTGAGGTCGGCACAACTCATGGGGAAATCCCTCACAAATCTGGAGAGTTGCAAATTGGACTACCACTTTTATTTGACTTACCCAACAGGAATATCTCCGACCTGTGTGACACCAAAATCTCTTTGCAAGTTAGCACCATAGGAAATTAAAGTTCCTAAAACAACCTGTTCAAAAAAAATAATTCATCATGTTCATAATTAATTGAAAAGATGTGTATCTAAAAATCAAGTAAAATCTTTTTTACAGAGACCTTTTATACAATACATTCAAGTTGTGCAAAATTTTATTGAATTATCTCCCTTTCCACGTATTCATTCTGTACACTTGTAACATAGCTATATAATTGTTTGATAGATTGCAATGAAATTCTTTCTTTTTCTTTTTTCCTTTTTTCACATTTTAATAGAAAAGTTGATTTTTATAAATTGCCAAAGGTTGATTAATTTTTATTGTTATTATTTTATTAATTTTGTTTATATTACAAGTAATCTTCAAAGTTAGTAATATTGCTTTGATCTATTTTTCAGGGTAATGAAGAATCTAGCATTTCTTGTTGTTGTTTACCAAGATGCCACTAATGACTTACAATTGTGATGTGAAGTAGAAACTTTTCAATGAGTTTGTTGAAATATGTTGCATTTGAACATTTAAAAAAAAGCATTTTGAAAATAGATTACTGTGAAAGTACTTTTATTCGTGGGTATCAATTTTCGTGGTTTGAGTAAAAGTTACATGTTCGTGGGTTCTTAAATTCGTGGACTTTTTTAGTTTCCTGAAGAAGAAAAAACAAATGAAGAATTTGGAGCAATCAGAATCAAAGATTCTTGAAAATAATCATATATTGTTTTATATTGATTCTGATATATTTTAAAGCTGATTCATCTATGCTTACAAGTTATCTCGATTGAGGGAAATTGCATAGTAAACATTTTAATTGATGCACACATGTAATCAGAACTGATGACACTAATTAACCCAAGATCTAATGATCAACAGGACCATAAACATGTCACTCATCTTAAGGAAAACAGTTACATAACAAAATGCTCCAAATGAACTTTGGATTCAAGAAATTCATTCTTATGAAATAAAAAACCAAGCCCAATATGAAATTATTTTTTTCGTATGAGGATTATGAGGAGATAAAATGCACACTTCATCATCGCATATCATCACCTGAAGTCTGACTTTCATCGATAAAAACTGTTTTTTCATGAGAATTAAAAGGTTGAACGTCATACAGTTTAGGTTTTTTTTAAGGATTAAATAAGTAAAATCCTGTCTTTAAGTTGTATATATAGTTCATAGTGGGTTTTGATCACCTTTGATGTATTCTCTAGAAGATATGCCCATATCCATGTAGTCAAACCTTCATGGGGATATTTCCATGTTTTGATTTGGGCAACTGTTGTTTTATTTCGTTGGACACTTAAATTCGGTAAATGGGCAGAAAGTCACAGGACAAAAAGTCACAGGACATAAAGTCACAAATTTGATAGGACAAAAAGTCACAAATAGTTAGTTGACAATTGTTTGGATATATAAGAGAAAGATCGTGAAATATTTTCTTTTTACTACATAATTATATTATTTTTTTAACTTAGGAAATTGTTCATATGCCTTGATAAATGAAAAATTATTAAATTTTAATCATGCGAAGGATATATTCATACAGCATGAAGCCATTTAAAAGCAAATCCACTTTGACATTTTTTTTTCATAACAATTATTTGATCATTATTGATATTTATTGAATAAATTTTAATTACAAAGTTTCTCTATATATAATAGTTGAAGAAAAATCGAAAATATATATTTTTTTTAAAAGTGTTTTCTTCTTCAAAGAAAAACAATCTCAAAACTAGATTGTTACTTTTTGTCCTGTGACTTTTTGTCCGTGACTTTTTGTCTGTGACTTTTCGTCCTGTGATTTTCTGTCCTACATTCTTAAATTCGTGGATAAAGCCATCCACAAAAAACCCAAAAAATTGGTACCCCACGAATAAAAGTACTTTCACAGTATGTGGCAATATTAACGGTAATATAATGCTTTCCTATTCTCGTTGATGCTTGCATTGGCTTTGAAAAAACAAAATAAAGAAATTTTTTGCACATTGTGCCCAAAAAAACTTTCTCAATTACAGAAATGGTATAATTGCTACAATTTAACATATAAAAATAAGGAGATGTGGTATGATTGCCAATGAGACAACTATCCACCAAAGTTCAAATGAAGTACATGTAAACAATTAGAGGCAACCATGTTTATATTTTTTAACATCTACACTTACTGCTATCAACTCTACAGGTACAGGCATTTTCAGTCTTGGTTTTATTTTTGGATTCTGGTTGATATATGTTTTTATTGTATACAGAAACACCATACATATAACTGATGCTATAAGAGTCACTGCATTTGTATGTGGTATATTTGTGAAAAAGTCTCTGTATGTCTGAAAAACACAATAATACATTATAATCTTTACTTTCATTAGTGGTATCATGTGTATCCATACACCAAATAATAAATTTACATAGCAGAGATCCAGTAGCAATTTCCTGTAGTTTAAAACAAAAAGAGTAAAAACTATATATCAAGTGCATACTTATGTGTATGAACTATTTTGTTTTTAATATGTACTACATGTACTTTCCAGTATGTTCTTTTTTGACCGGGCCCGATTAGGTGGTATTACATCTTACAAAGTTTATCCAAATTATTTCTGCAAAGAATTCTGCTCAAGACGTTGCTAGGGGCCGTCTCAAACTTGCAGTGAGGTGAGAGTTTTTTTTTTGCTTCGTGTTGTAGGCCTCACTGTGACTTTGAGATGAAGAACAGCAATAAAAGTGCTGTTCCTTTGCTTTTAATGTGTTTTTTTTATGTGCATGTACTTATTTTGTGTCATGGATGGATACCCCATATCCTTTGTTTTTCTATTATATGGATACAATTAAGTATAATTCTTGCTAATTATTGATTGGTAAAAAAAATCAAATCTATTTCTGATTTTTTTAATTTCTCATTGTCTGAAATATTGTTATGCTAAAGGAAAATTTCATTGAATAATCTCCCTTTCCATGCATTCAATCTGTAACCAAAAAAAATCAAATCTCCATGACTATTGTTTGATTATTTAACATACAACACCAGAAATGTGTTTTAAAGTTTATAAAAAGAAATTACAAAGTCTTCTGCATTTAACTGCAAACCTCAGCATTTGAAACATATGCAGCTGTATGACAGGTTAATGCTTTAATATCAATGACTATTAATTTTTCTTTTTGTGATTTTACATACAGACTGACTTAAGCCGCATACCTTCTCTTTTTTTCTCATTTTTCACTTTGTGTCAACAGTTGGTGGTTATGTAACTTTTATTTAAGAAAGCAAAACAATCCATTTTAAAATATGTTTATACATGTAAATCTTATTGATTAATCATTTAAATGTATAAGTATTGTACACACATCATTAATAATAACAGGATATAAATCATGATTTGTATTAACGTAAGCATCCTTAGTTATTGTTTTGTATTAATGTAAGCATCCTTAGTCATTTTTCTAAATTTGTATATATCCTTGTATGAAGACTTCACTTACAGTTGTTTATTAAGAAAGATGTTAATCAATGTTTCCTCAAGGACATCTTGGTTAATTACTATATATAGTCTTTTTTTTTTGTAACTACTAGGGCATTTCCCTAAAAAATTCATTAAAAAAATATCGGCCAGCAACATTTTTTGTTATTTCAAGAGATACTCATTAAAATAATTTACACCTTTGTCATTTGTTTATTTATTATGTAGTATCTGTAATTCCTTTCCTGTCAACACTTTAATTGAAAAACTTAGATCAAACATTTCTGTAAATATGTTGCATTTTCTACTATGATAAACATAAAATTTAAAAGACAAAATATCAAAGAAGCAGTACTAAATTACCTGTTAACTTTTTTCTGTACCAATGATGATTTTATCTTAAAACTTCATGATGAGGCAAATTGGATTTAAATTTAAGTCATATACATTTGGTACTTAATTCTTGATTTTATTTAGGAAGTAATGTACATTTTCATTCCTAGTATGCTGATAAGTTTCAGAACTCACATCAACCCAGGATAGAACAAACCATACATCAGTTTAACTGCAGCCTTTCTGTTATTAAAAGTTTCTATTATGTCATCTATAGTAGCAAATCAGTCAATCTTGCAACACTTCAATCTAATTTTTACAACCTTAGATTGAAACATTGAAACAGTCAGAAAAAAAAGAAGATAACTGCAACTTCTTTTTTCTATGCCAACATACTTACATAAACAAGTTTGAGTGCCCCACTGTATCTTGCAGTAGATATACCAAACACATGTGTAATCTGACTAGTAAATACATGACAGGCTGCTCCCGTTGTAAATCCACTGACTAGAGGGTCTGACAGGTAGGTAGTTATAAATCCTAACTGTGCGACACCCATTCCTAGCTGTAAAATGGAAAATAAAAACTTATTTATACAGTATTTTCAATCTTATACCATGTGGAACTTTCAAATGTTTTCAATCAGTGGATGCACATTAGTCCAAATTTTACAATGAAGTCTATTTAGCCTTATTTTAAAGGTCTTGTCTAGCTAATGAATACTGCAGATACTGTGATTGTGCAATATACCTCACAATATTTGCTATTTGTTAAAATGAACCAGATAAAAGAATGGAACTATGCTGTCAATTAGCCATTTCAGAATTTTAAGAATTAGGTAATTACATTGTTTATTCACAAAATGAAAATAATATCACAGCATTGGCTGAATTTTCATTGTTTAGGACGTATTTAGTCAATCACAAAGTTTTGGCGTAAGCTATTGAAAATATTACCTAGAATACATTATATTCTAAAACGGCAAATTAGTTCTAGGTTAATCTGCCATACAGGATAAAATAAACTATTCAAAGATTCAATTCTACTATTGCAATTTGGAACTAAAAAAGCTCATTAATGTCTTCCTGGAGAAAGTTTAAATCAATCTTCAAGGTTTATTCCAAAAACTATTATTTAACAAATTGAATTAACTTGATTACGGTCACAGTGACATTTTCAATATGTGAAAGTTATTGGATACAATTTATTTTTCAATTTTCCTCTACATATTACAGATAAAAGAGAGGAGGAAGAATTACCAGATAGATATTCATACTCATAAATCAAAAACAAACTGCCAATGCCAAATCTAATTTTCTTCATACATATATTTAAGGAAATTTTCAATATGTGTTATTTAAGAAGGTTGCATATTGTCAACAATATTTTTTTTTGGGGGGGGGGAGGGTTGAAAAGGAGGGATGGGGTTATATTAATCTTTTTGTCTCTCTGTTTGCACTTAATGCATGTAAAAATTCTTTTGCTTGTTTAAAATCTTAAAATTATTTTAAATTTTACATTTTGTATAAGCATATATGTAAAATTAGTTGCATGTTTTAAGATTAATTTACTCAACTGTTATAATTTGTCGCAGGATTATGTTTTTTTTCATTTAACTGCATAAGGATTTTTAAACTGGTACTTTTCAACAGTAGAATTATTTAATCAATCTTTATCACCAAATTTTTTCTAAAACTTCTATATTTTTTTCTTTCTATATAGTTACATAATTTCATGACAGTAAGGTGTACTGTTGCAGCAAATCAGAGTTCCTTTGGTAACCTCTTACAGTTTGCCAAGCAACTTGCAAAACATGATAAGTGAACCTTTTGCAAATGAGAGGAGTGAGTTTTGAGTCCCTATCAAAGGGATAAAATAATCTTTGTCATTTTTTTTTCTATGTCTTTTTAAAGTTAAAGATGTTATATTTGTTGGACAATAATGGTATTTATACCACACATCGAAGTTATACCATACAAAACCAAGAATTATTTTTCTAAAATATAATCTAAATATATTGCATATTTCAAGAAAAATGATAAAATTAATGTTTTATCCTCATATACTGGTTGGTATGAATAAACATGTACAATTCAGGACTAACAAAACCTTGCTATAATTTAAAAGTCTAGTGTACGTAATAAAGAGATAGAGTTGGTTCACTTGGTTATTTGACAGGAACAACTGACACATTTTGGAATCTATAAGAATGAATTACAGGAGTAGTCAAGTTGAGCTTCAGATTCTTGAAAAAATTTTACAATATATTTAACAGACAATAAAAAGACGACGAAAGACAAATGCAATACCTTAAAAATTACTGGAGCCTAAAATTAAATCAGGTGAGATAATAAGAGATTTACTACATAATATGCAACATCTGGTCGGGAGAAACTGTTTCCAACAAAAATAGAACCTCGAACTGATTTTTACAATTTGTTGTGTTGTAGTTACACAACTAACCAGATCATGGTGGGGATGGAGAGCTCTTAAACATGTATAACCCTGCTACATTTTTTATCTGCCTGTCCCAACACAGGAGCTTCTAATCCAGTGGTTGTGGTTGGATGTTGTCAGTCATAATATATTTTTGAAATATAAACCTTAATCAGGCCATTGGTTTTCTCTTTTAACTTATTTAACATCCAAAGAACTTTTATATCTCACAATACAGTTTTCATTTTGCTCATTGTTGAAGGCCCAAGGGTCACCTGCCTTTGTTCTAATCTTTACTTTGGTTTTTTTTGGGCTTATTGTCTAATTGGCAATCATACCACGTCTCCCTACTACTAAATAATTTTGGACAACAGACAGAGCAGTCTCTCATGATCCACTGAAATATTATATAAAAATAGGGATCATCAATTAACAAACCTGTATGAGTCCAACCATCAATGTAACTGCCATAGCAACCTGTAACTTGATTTCATCTTGGCAGGCTCCAGTACTGCCAATTTGGGTTACATTAGTCCCATTTATATCTGCTATTGAAACAACAGTATCATTACAGCCTTCAAAAACACCACCAAACTTGGCCACTCCCTTGTCGACTGCTGAACCAACCATTAGGCATGCCACAGCAAAAGTTCCTGTAAAAATATTTGATATTGAAAGCAGCGCAAATTCAATGTTTTTTAGGACTGAAATACCAGATTTTCTTACAACTGGTCAGTTAAACTTGAATTATATCTAGAAATTTCAAACACCTGATAGGTTTTGAAGAAAAAAACATTGCTCTGGTGAAACAGTTTGATCAGGTGGCTTTTAAGATTTACCCGAGTTCTATGAGACTTCTTGTGGATATTTGTTATTAAATTTATTGTATCAATTTAAAATACAGATCCTGTGACAGTGCTTCATTGTTTAAAAGGATCTTACAAGGCTCTATTTTACTTTCTGTCATAAGGACCTTTTTGTAAGTAAAGTGTGGACATAGAATCAGAATTTTAATCTACCGGTACTGTAAATTCTGAAATTATTGCGAGGTTTTTATTAATGCGAATAATGCAACTGGTTGAGTATCGCAATAATAAGAACTCACATTTTGGTATCTGATACATATATATGTATGCAGATTTTCCTGAAATCGCAATAATTAAACTCGCAGTTGTGTACATTCTTCAGCAATCGCAATAATAAATGCACGCAATATATAATATCTGAATTTACAGTAATTGTTATAATATCAAAATAAAATTTACTACTTGCAAAAAAAATAAGTTAACACCTGTTTTGTTTCAGTTGTAGATATAGATATGGCCTACATCATGAGTGCCATTAAGTCCTCAGTACTTTATATATAGTTGACCTATCACTTAATGTTAATGAGAAACTAACTTTTCACAGAGTTGATTAATGCACCGTGAATGTGAGATCAAGGTAAGATGGTCTACGTCAGATGGATATAAACCCATTACAATAAATCTAGAGAGAGTTAAATACAGTTGACCTGTTTCTCATAGTTCATGAGAATATCACCTGTGCAAGAAAATTTAGTGTTAATTTTGTACAAATATGAAAATGAGATCAAGGTCAAATGACCACTAGACCTCTACATAAAAAATATGGATTGTTTAGCTCTTCTATAGTATGAAGTATTATGCTTTAAACAAACAATTTATCCTGCAACCCCTGTCTGATTAGCATATGACTTAAAATCATGTCTTATTAGGTTAAATACTGAGATTTATAAAAACAAACTTCCAGATTCCCAGAAAAAAACTCATTCCAGGTTTTTTCTTATGCTGTGCATTCATTTGTTTTTGTGGGTACCAATTTTTTCGTGGATTGAGGAAAGGTTGTGTTGTATTCATGTGAATACTTGATTTCGTGATTTTGTCAAAGTTTGCATACAATCCTGTAGGAATTTTGTACTTAGTTTAACATTTAAATTTGTGGTTCAAATTTACCCACAAAATCAACAAAAAATGGTACTCCACGAATAAAAATAAACCCACAATATGTAGCAGTCTCTTTTGATGCCTTTCTTCAATTCTCTGTAGTTCCAAATTTATGAAGTAGTTGTTTATTGTCATATCTTAATGTTTTTGTAATTTTGAGATTTCAATGTTGATGGCGGATCATTGATAGCACAATTTTATAGTATGTCTAATTTATACACTTCAGACCATTTAGAGTTGACATATTATATAGACACCTGCCTATAGACTGTATGATGAACTCTAGCTATCTTTTGGTTATTTGTATTATTGGGTTGCTGTCACTGACATATTCCCCACATCTCCTTTTATTCATTTGAAATAATATCTTACCCATAGACACATGTCTTGATGTTCCAAGGAAGAAGTATACAATGACTGGGAAAAATGAAACGTAAAGTCCATATACTGGGTCTAAGCCTGTCAACATACCATAAGCCATGCCTACAAAATACAAGTTAAACAGACGATTAAGTATTAAACATTGGCGATATTAACAATATACAAATATTTCATTTTCAATATTCATGTCTTATTATGATAAGTTCTTATTTCTAGTGACTTGAGTAAGGATCATTTCTGATGGAAACTGGCTTGTAACCAGTATAAAGTTAAAAGCAGGAGCAGATTCAGGATTTGATGTTTAAGGAGGGGGGGTCTTTATACTATGGAATTAAAGGACCTTATTTTGACACAAAATTGGATTAAATATTATCTTTATTTTATAATTGTTTTTTATTTAGGTTAGGTGCAAGCCAGGCGCGTTCCCGCCTGAATCAACACCTGGACTTCAGCTGGGATTATACTGTTAATTTTTGAATTTTCATGTTAAAAATCAGGTGCTGTATTTCTGTCTAGTACAGAGCTAGTTAATATTTATATTTTTAAAAATGTTCTTGTCCAAAACATGCGTGTAAAATTTGTAACTGGATATTAAAATTTCATACCATGTACTGAGCTGGAAAATGTCCAACAATCTTCTTTATGGTATTTTTGTCATTGGGTTGATGTCTCATTGACATAAACACCACATCTACTTTTATTAACATTTCTGTTCAAAATTTCCCAACATCTATGACAAAATTACATTTTCAAGGCTACTTTATTTTTCAACCCTCACCAAATTTGTATAAGGCCTTACCTTGAGGTATGTGCATGATTCCTACAGTAAGTCCAGATATGATATCACTTGGTAGATCTGATCTCACATTGTATCCCTTTAGAATAGACAAGAATGGAAAAATTCCAAAAAGAAAATTCTTGCAGCAAGTCTTTGAGCATGTACATTTTGAGCATGCTTTCCGACATGAAGATTTCAATGAACTTTGTGGTCTAACTCCAGCTTCAAATCCCTCATCAAGTTTCTGCTGGTTGAAGATTGGTCTGTCGATAACCATTTTAGCGTGGCCATTTTCTGTTATGTCCAGCAGCGACTCACCTAGCTCTGAGTCTTCTTTCTTCATCCTCTGTTTCCCTGCAAAAGAAATGGAGGAATTAAGAGAACGTAATATCTTCTGTCAAAATTCCCAAAAGGATATAGTAAGCAATTTTAACTTTGTAAAAACTAAATGTCAATCAGTATTTTGTTGTAATTAAGTAAATAACAAAACACCCTTTGACTAAAAAAAATTGGAAAAAAAACAATGTTTCACTGGAGAATTCTGAAAACCAGAGTACTTTAAAAACACTTAACATAAATCTGTTTTAGGCTATACATGGTGGTGATAAACAGTTTATCACTAAAATATTTTTAAATCTTGATAAAATATTTTATCACTAAAAAATTGCAAAAATTATCATAAAATCTACCAAATATTCAATACACTATCAGCAACCTGGTATATGCGAAGTGACATGAAAATGGACATGCAAAATTCTTGAAAAATATTTCCTACGGGTCATTTGCCATGGACACTTCACACCAATTTCATCATATAATTGGACAGGTGCAACAAATTACACCTTTCACTTTCCCCTGAGAGGACAAGATAAAAATTCATTATTTCATTCAATAAATCAGGTGTAAAGTACATAAATTACTTAAATGGATGTCATATCTTGTAAATATATAGATAAATATAACAAGGTCAACATAACTGACCTATTGTGTGTATCTTACAATTTATTGTATAACATCTTTGTGTAACTATAATATGTACAACATATATATATATATAATTAAATTTATCTCTGATCTGTCTGTGATTTTCTAATGACATTCATGGTGACAATTGTTCTAGATAGTAACACTCAGTACCAGGGGAAACCATTTTCCAATTTATTGACCATTAAGGGTGATTAAATACATCGATTATCATTTGCCTTCAATGAAGAAACTGAAAAAATCCCAAGTTAGTCTATTTTTTTCAGTTCATAAATTCATCAACACCTAAGAAATATACCCAAATAGCCAAATTTTGCTGAATTTCACCTCTGCTGCAAAATCATTTTTCTTGCAAGTGGTGAATTAATTATACTTAAAAAAAATCTATTTTTACTGACCCTTTATATCAGTTGTTGATATTAGAATTGTTCAGGCGAAAAAGCTTGGTAATGTCCTTTAGGTTTACCTGACTTTCCTGTCTGAATAATTTTAATTTTGACAACTAAGCTATATCTTGTGATTGACAAATTACAAAAAAAAAATGTCCATCCCATCAATAGTTTATTTGTACTAATTTTTGTATACTTTTCCTAAATTCTGTAATAAACTGACAAACTAAAGATCTTGAAGTAAAACAAGTTGTCATCTCAAATCTGGTAAAAAAAAACTCTCCATTCTTTTCATAAACTTACAAAATCAAATTTCGACAATTTACTAGAGTTGCTAGATAATTAGAAGAATGAAGTACAAAATAGGACAGTTCAATTTGCATAAACAAGACTAAGGATGAAATATTTGTGTTGATCATACATCATCATCATCACTAATCACACTATATGGCAAAACAAAGTGCATTACTGGTGGACATTTATCTAAAGCAGACCATGTCTTAAAGTCTACCCTATGCAGAACAGGTATCTTTTTATGTTGTATAATGTTACACTACTGTCTCAGGTTAGGGTGAAGATTTTTATGCACCTGTCCTTAGTCAGGAGCCTGTTGTTCAGTGGTTGTCGTTTGTTGGTGTGGTTCATAGGTGTTTCTTGTTTCTCGTTTTTTATATAGATTATACTTGGTTTTCCTGTTTGAATTGTTTTACATGTCATTTTGGAGCCCTTTATAGCTTGCTGTGTTGAAAGCCATACTTTGACCTATAATTATTAACTTTTTAAACATTGTGACTTGGATGGAGAGTTGTCTCATTGGCACACATACCACATCTTCTTATTTATATCAAAGTCTACCCTATGGGGAGCACAGCCACCTACATCAAGTCTTAAAGTCTACCTGATGCAGAGCACAGCCACCTACATCAAGTCTTAAAGTCTACCTGATGCACAGCACAGCCACCTACATCAAGTCTTAAAGTCTACCCTACGCAGAGCACAGCCACCTGCATCGACATGATCAAGTCTTAAAGTCTACCTGAAACAGAGCACAGCCACCAAGATCATGTCTTAAAGACTACCGGAAGCAGATCACATACTACCTAGATCATGTTTCAAAGTCTAACCTAACGCAGATCACAGCCACCTTATAATATTATCATCTCTTAAAGCCTTTTAATGATTTACTGAATGGTCAGGGTTCTATAGATTTAAATATCTTGTAAAAACAGTTTTAAAGTCCCTAACTGAAGGTCACTTGGTTTACCCTTAGTACTTATGTACAAATATGAATAACTAATAAAATATGCAAATCAATTTTATGATAACAATACTGAGTGATTATCTATTAGTATCTTGATTTAAAATTTGAAGGGGTTTTAGAATTCCTTCACCTATCTACTCAGTTACTCAAAAAATGCAACCATTGGAATGATTGGATAAATAAATTTTCAAAATATGAATTCAAGAATGCATGAATTAAAATAGGATGAAAAAAAACCATGAAAATTGCCGTCCTCAAACAAATGTACTTTGTTATTACTGCAAATTAAAAATCTTTGCAAAACTTTTACAACATAGTGAAGAAATTTTGTTTTTGGATTGATTGCATAAGGTAAGAAGGTTCCAACCTGCAATCAGAAATTATCAATGTCAATTCATGACCTTGATAAGACACATTCCTTTAAGGTAAGATAACTATTGAAAGTAGATTGTTCCACAAAAAAAATGCAAAATTACTTTATTCAAAAACAAATTTTATACAATTTATTTTAAAAAAAATGCCATGTTTACAAAGCCTTTTGAAAATAATTTATCATCCTACCTTGTGGAATAGACATGTCAATGCCATACGGTCACGAAAAGATAAGAGAGGTGTAAGTCCCAAAATATGATAATTTTCAAAAAAAAAAGAGTTCATCAATATGCATAATACCAAATGTTCAAAAGTGCTTATAATACATATTCAACTAATTTTTATCAAAATTACACTACAAAAAAGTCTCCTACCTTGAAAAATTGACATGTTGAATTTCCGTGAATATTTGTATAAGAAGATGTGTCCAGTAGGACAATCATATATATACTATAGCTAGTTATCATTTATCAGTAGACCACATACCAAATATGTTTAATAATCCAGCTGATCCTTGGCCTTGGACTAACAAAATATATTTCCACTTCTTAATGTCAATTCAGTGGATGGCCTATATTCATCAAAGTAACTGTGTCCAAATTTACAATTCCTTTCAAGTATTTTGCAAATAAGACAGATTTTACACGCTTTGATCTAAAGATGAGTGCATCTTGATATATATAAATTACAAAGCTTTTGAGGGAAATTGTTGTTTTGAGTAAATATTGTCCTTTCAAAAATGACACAGGTCTAGGTCGAAATTTACGAAATTAAAAAAAAATCTGTAATTAAATGCAATTGTTTACAATAACAAACTTGCACTTTGTTTATGAACAAATAATATGCACAAACCCAGTTTGGTTTAGGAAGATGGGGATCAAAAACTCTTTATATTTTATTTGTAATTTAATAAGAAAACATAATATCTTTTATCACATTATAAAACAGTATTGTTACGTAATTGTATGTTGAAATCACCTGAATAATAAACAAACATGTGATTTCATTTGATGGAAAATTAAAGTAAACTTAGTATTAATCATTTTAATGTGCTTTGTAATGGTTTGAATAGAGGGGTAGCTATAGGTGGGGTTTAAACATCAATATAACAGCAACTCAAATAATACAAGATAAACTGTTAACACAGAGATATGTCTCGCCTATTTGTTATTTTGATAAAGCAAATGTTGAAATTAAAATAGCAATACTTTAAAACATGAAATTTATGCACATATTCAAAGTCAATGAACCGTGACTGAAGGTACAGGGCTAAACAATCTCCATGGAAATGAGATGTGCCAATGCTAATACAACTGCAAACCAAATACCATTGACTTTTCATAAGTCGTTCCCTTTAAACAAACCTAAACACAAACATTAACTTGTAAACTATGTAAAAGTTTCAAAGTCAATGAACCATAATTAGGGGGTGGGGTTATATAATCTCCATGGAACTGAATCTTGCAAATATTAATACATTTGCATACCGAATATCATTGACTTAACATTAGTGGTTCATCTTAAACTGACCTTAAATCACAAACTAATACATGTAAACTAAGCAAAAGTTTCAAAGTCAATAGACCATGAATGAGGGGTGGGGCCAAATATTCTCCATGGAAATGAGATATGCCAATGCTTATACAACTGCATACCAAATATCATTGACCTACCACTAGTGGTTCCCCATAAACTGACCTAATCACAAACTTAATACATGTAAACTAAGCAAAGTTTCAAAGTCAATAGACCTTGACTGACGGGGGCAGGGCCAAATAATCTCCATGGTAATGAGATGTGCCAATGCTAATTCAACTGCAGACCAAATATCACTGACCTACCACTAGTGGTTCACCATGAATTAGACCTAATCACAAACTAATACATTGTTGACGCCACTGCCGCTGCCGCCACCGCCACCGCCAGAAACAGCTTACCTATGTCTCGCTTTTTGACTCCGTCAAGGCGAGACAAAAACCTAGAAAAGAGAGGTTTCTTACTATTTTTTCAGCCTTTTATTCCACAAGCATTATTATTCAATATGTTTGTCCTCCCATATGAAATTTTTGGCAAGATTCCTACTGGGCCATTAGCAGGAATCCATCAAGAATGAACATAAAATCTACTATCAAGACATACTAAGAAAACATTCAGTTTTTCTGGCAGGATTTCTCATTTTCAACAGAATATCTGGCATGGGTGAACAGAATATTTTTTTCCTATCAAAAAATCTTTCTATCAAGATTTTTTCTCATTTACGTAGGATTATTTACCTTGGCTGATATTGACTTGTATTCAATTATGTTTAACTGGATTCCTGTTGGCTAATAACATTTATTTTGCTGTGT